CCGAAGCCGAGGCATTTTGTGGGCTTCTCAAATGAGCAGGAATACCCTCCCGGAGTAAAATGTAGTCGATACCTTTGTTTAAAGAACAATTTGGAAAAATACTTCTTCACAAGACCTAAAAGATGGCCATATTTAACTTTAGAACAGTTTGTTCCTTTTACTTTAAATGGAAGAGCATTTCTTTCCCATAAGCATTAAAGACAGCACTATATCTCCATTTTTAAGTAGTTTTAGGCTGGGCGTACTGGCTCACATGTGTAATCCCAGCACTTTGGGAGGAGGCTGAGGCAGGAGGATTGCTTGAGCTCAGGAGTTCAAGACCAGCCTAGGCAACACAGTGAAACCCCATCTCTACCAAAAATACAAATATTAGCGGGGTGTCGTGGTGCATGCTTGTAGTCCCACGACTCAGGAGGTTGAGGTGGGAGGCTTGCTTGACCCCATAAGGCAGAGGTTTCAGTGAGCTGAGACCACACCACTGCACTTCAGCCTGGGTGACAGAGACAGGTCTTGTCTCAAAAAAAATTTAAAAAGTAGTTTAAGGGGGCAAAAAAGTGGGATCCCCTTTCTGACCTGGCTAAAGCTTCCTTCATTGACGCACGCAATTATTTATTTATTATTTATTTATTTATGTTTTGAGATGGAGTCTCACTCTGTCACCCAGGGTAGAGTGCAATGGTGCGATCTTGGCTCACTGTAACCTCTGCCTCCCGGGCTCAAGCGATTCTCCCGCTTCAGCCTCCCAAGCAGCTGGGATTACAGGCGTCCGCCACTATGCCCGGCTAATTTTTGTATTTTTAGTAGAAACAGGGTTTCACCATGTTGGCCAGGCTGGTCTCAAACTCTTCAAGTGATCTGCCCGCCTCAGCCTCCCAAAGTGCTGGATTACAGGCATGAGCCATCGCGCCCGCCAGACTCATGCAATTTTAATGTATATTTAGTCATCATAATAACTGTGTCGGAAGGTTTAACTAAAAGAAAGCATACTGAAATACTTTTCCTGGGGAAAGGCAATGACCACGCATTTCTTAAATAGAATAAAATTGGTGATTTATACACCAGTTCCCCTACCCCCATCTCTTTAAACTTTGTACCCCTTGTGCCCAGCAAGAAATAGTAGAAATAGGTATTCTGTCAGGCATGGTGGCTCACACCTGTAATCCTAGCACTTTGGGAGGATCACTTGAGCCCAGGAGTTCAAGATTAGCCTGAGCAATACAGTGAGATCTCATCTCTACCAACAAATTTTTCAAAAAATTAACCAGGTGTGGTGGCACGTGCCTGTGGTCCCAGGTACTCAGGAGGCTGAGGTGGGAGGCTTGCTTGAGCCCAGGAGGTTGAAGAAAGAAAGAAGAAGGAAGGAAGGAAGGAAGGAAGGAAGGAAAGGAAGGAAGGAAGGAAGGAAGAAGGAAGGAAGGAAGGAGGGAGGGAGGAGGGGGAGGGAGGGAGGGAGGGAGGGAAAGAAAAGAAAGAGAGAAAGAAAGAGAGAGGGAGGGGGAACGAAGGAGGGAAGGAAGGAAGGAAGAAAAAAATTGGTATTAAAGTTTCTTAAATAAAAATGGATTTTTTCTTCCTAATGCATGTTTTCTCCTCATTTTTCTTATCCGAAGTCTTCCCTTGGAATATAAGTAAGTTTTCCTCCTTCACATTTAATATTTCATTGCCTGATTGTTTTTCAGTTTAAACAACAGGAGAATCCAATAACAAATCTTTACCAACAGCTAAGAGTTACTGAAAGTGCCTTTTTAGTTATAAAAAGTTAATCCATTTTTAATGTAAGGCAAGCAGTTCACAATTAAACCTAAGAGGATAATTTACTATAGATAGACGTGAAGTACCTAAAAAGAAATGAATATCCAATCTACACCTATATAATGGCAAAAATAGAGCTAGACTTTCAGAGTCAGAGGGGACCTTAATGTCAGGTCGGCAGGTCTGGGCTCACATTCAATCCAAACCAAGCTTTGCTGAGTGTCCCTTCCCTCCACTTTCTCCTGAATCATTCCCCCTTGGGCTAGGAGTTTCCAAGAAGGCAAATAAAGGAAGATAAGCAACAAGGGAAAAGGATGGCAACTCAAATGTGCAGTTCAAGGCTTTGAATACGAATTTTTTTTAACACTAATGAAAAAGGTAGTACACAGCTCTTAAAATATTGAAATACTTCTCTCTGTCCAATATCAGCACATAATGCAGAAAAGCCCATTGGGAACATGTTCCTCTCCTTTAAATGCCACTTGGAAAGCTTCTTCATTATTCATAAATGATAAATAAAAGACCGGGCGTGGCCAGGCATGGTGGCTCACACCTGTAATCCCAGAACTTTGGGAGGCTGAGGCAGGTGGATTGCTTGAGGTCAGTTCGAGACGAGCCTGGCCAACATGGTGAAACCTCGTCTCTACTAAAAATATAAAAATTAGCTGGGTGTGGTGGCACGCACCTGTAATCCCAGCTACTCAGGAGGCTGAGGCAGGAGAATTGCTTGAACCTGGGAGGTGGAGGTTGCAGTGAGCTGAGATCACACCACCGCACTCCAGCCTGGGTGACAGAGCAACACTCAGTCTCAAAAAAAAAAAAAGTAGTGTTTACAATATAAGGGAAATTGGGATCTCATGTTCTAATTCAAGGAATTTAAGGCTATTAACCATTTTAAAGGTCTCATGTTTAAGCTTCTCACTTTATCTTTCTTTATTCAAGAAAATCCATAATAGCAAGTGTTGACAAAAATGTGAGGAACTGGAACTGCCATACACTCTAGTGGGAGTGGAAATTGGTATAACCACTGTGGAAAACTGTTTGACAGTATCTATCAAAACTGAACATATCCCTTCCCTATGATCCAGGAATTCTACGTGTGGGCATAATCCTTTATATATGGTGTTTATGTCCACCATACATAAAACAATGTTCACAGCAGTGCTATGCATAATTACACAAAATTGGAACAACTTCCATGTGCTTCAAGAACAGAATGGATAAAATAAATTATAACATCTATTCATACCATGAAATGGTACTGGCAATTAAAAAAAAAAAACAAAACACACTGCTACAGAGAACAAGGTTGAATCTTATTATTATAATGTTGAGTAAAAGAAACTGGACATAAAACAGCACTGATGATGGTTTGCTTCACATGAAGTTCAAACACAGGCAAAAGTAACCTATGGCATCAGAAGTCAGAATAGAGGCTACCTGGGGAGGGAGCACTGACAGAGAGGTTGGAGCTAGAATTGCTTTATATTTCAGTCTGATCGTGGTTATTTGGGCACACACATATATGAAAACTAATGAAATTGTACTCTTAATATTTGTGCATATTTACTGTGTGCCAATTATACTTCATTTAGAAATATCTGGAGAGAGATATAGAAATTTCTGAATTCTTTCCTAAATATAAAAGAATTCAATACAGCTTAAATATAGTTGCAAGTATTGACGCTTATACCTTTAGAAAGCCCATTATGCTTCTGAAAATGCACTTACTACTTAATATCATACATAATAGAAAGCTAACATTTTGTATTAATGGAATCTGAAAAACACATTGTACTATACATTTGAAATTACAGATTTACTAACTAGTAAAGATAAATGTTTGAGAACTAAACTACAATGTTTAAGAACTAAAATTTTAAAATGTTTGTTTTTCCACTTTTTTCCCTTGATTTACATTTTTACTTTTTATATTTCATAATTATTTGTAGCAAAAGCTATTGGATATAATTCCTGCACTTCTATATTGCAAGTATTTTCTCTATTTACCACAGACTTCAAGTCTTAGCATTTCAGAGCTGAAGGGGACACGCACGGACTCCCTCACTGCACAGATGAGGACGCGGAGGCCGGGGAGGTGAGTGTCAGTCCCAAGGTTGCAGACCTAGGACAGGGACCAGAGCTCCCGGGCTCCCAGAACTCTGTCGCCTTCAACCCAAATTCGATTCAGTCCTCTCATCCTTCCAAATAGAAAGCTGACACGAACCGATCGGAAGCTTTTTTTTTTTTTTTTCAATAACTATGCTACCCAGCAGATTCTCTGGGGAGAGTCCTCAGAGTCCTTGAAAACCCCACTGGGGTTTAATGCCAGGATAAGAAGAGCGTAGAAGAAAGAGACAGCTAGTATTTTAATATATAAATCTGTTTGCATAATATTTCCTAGGTAAACTATTCGCTGATCCAACCAAAATTCGGCGGGGCTGGGGTGTATCGTTATTGAGGACGACTCGCTCTAGGGGAGAACCCGGACGCATTTTTCCATCAGAGTTCCCTCTATAAATCAAAACCTCAAAAGAAGAGTTAACGACGACACCCAGGAGTCTACAGTATCCAGGGGTCGGTCCAGGAGAGGTCCCTGGCCACCTGGCGCAGAGCTCGCGGCCGCAGACTCCCATTGACGGCCCAGCACCGGAGCGCGCGGGCCGAGCTGCCCCAGACCCGGCGCAGCGCCTCGGGGAGGCCGTCTGCAAAGTCCGGGCCGCCACTCGGGACCGCGGACCGGGCCAGAGGAGAGACGTCGGAGAAGAGGGAAGAGGACGCGGGGTGGGAAAAGCCGGGGCCGCGGGCAAGTAGTGGGCGAGTCCGGAGGGCGCGAAAGAGGGGAGGGGCGCGGGAGGCAATGGAAGGAGCGAGCGCGGGAGGAGCGAGGCGGCTGGGCCGGAGGAGGCGCGCGCCCGGGTCACAGTGCGGGGTGGGGGCTGAGGGGCCGCGAGGGGCTGCGAGCGGGCTAGCGGGGCCTTACCGAGCAGCGGCAGCCGGCCGCCGCCGCGCGCCAACGCCGGCATGGCCTCCGGAGCCCGGGGTCCCCAGGCCGCGCCGGCCCAGCCCTGCGATGCCGCCTGGAGCGGCGCGCCCCGCGCTGCAGGTGGCTCTCTTAAGGATGCGCGTCACCGACCGCAAATTCCCTCGGACTGGTGCAAAGTGGAAGGGGGGAGGAACCCTCCCCAGAGGCAGGGGCCGAGCCGAGCAGCCGGTGCCTGGCGCAGCGCTGCAGCCGAGCCCACGTGCCCGCCGCGGTCCGCAGCCTGCGCTTGGCGGCCCCCGGGGCTCCCCGACTGCGGCGGGGAAGATTGGGCGCGGTCCCGCTGGAGAAGTTGCACCGGCTCCGCGGCTCTGCCTCCTTGCTGCCCCTGTGAGTCCCCGAACTCTGTCGTTTGGATCCGGGGCGTGGGGACTGCAGGGAGCCACAAACCACCCTTCTAGCGCTCTGGGATCTTTGAGGCCCTGAGAAGGGCGCTGAATCCGCGCGGCACGCTGGCGACTCCGGCCAGCGCACAGGCGAGCATGGGGTCTCATTCCATTCCCCCTGGATCTTAATTGTGGACTGATTTCCTTTGTCTCTCCCTCCATCTCCTAGGATGCCCAGGACCCAGTCAGCGGCGGGAGCAAGAAAAACAGGCGGGGTTTCAATGTCAACCAAGGCATAGGGAGGTTAACAAACACCCCTGAAAACAAAACACACAGAAAATACATCCCAGAGGATGTTGCGAATCATCCGCTCAATGGTTCTTCTTCTTCGCATAATTTTTCGAGTTGAAAATTATTATTATTTTCCTGCAATAAGTTGAAGATTGGAAAGCTCTGGATGCCAATTCTGGTTCTTCCCTTACTTAACTGGCCGTTTGACCTCCACAAACCTGTTTACTCATCGTAAAGGAAAGGGGTAGACCAAATGGTTTATAATGTCTCTCCCAATTCTAGGAATTCCATGCTCTTAATTATTTTAATCATTTTCTAATAAAGCATGAAAATTGTTTACTCTTGGCCATACAGTTATTTTCCTTAGATGTTGTTTACAGTACAATAATTCTTTCCCCCAGGACATGGCCGAAACTTTAGAAGTGTCTACTGTGGTGCAGCCACTATAGGAAACACTATAGAGGTTTCTCGAAAAATTAAAAAAAAATATGGTCCAGCAATTCCATTTCTGGTCATGTAGCCAAAAGAATTGAAAGCAGGGTTTTGAAGAGATGTCTGTACACCCATGTTTAAAGCAGCATTATTCACAGTAGCCAAAAGGTAGAAGCAACCCATGTCCACAACAGATGAATGATGAACAAAAATGCAGTATATACATACGACTATTTTCCAGCTTCAAAAAGGAGGGAAATTCTGATACATGCTAAAATATGGATGAATCTTGACGACATTATGCTAAGTGAAATAAGCTAGTCCCGAAACATACAATGCTGTATCCCATTACGAATTCATAAAGACAGAAAGTAGAATGGTGGTTACCATGGGCTGGGGGCAGGGGGAAATGGGGAGCCAGTGTTTATTGGATACAGAGTTTCAGTTTTGCAAGATGAACAGAGTTCTGGAGACTGGTTGCTCAACAATGTGAATGTACTTAACGCTACTAAACTGTACACTTAAAAATAGCTAAGGCCCGGTGCGGTGGTTCCTGCCTGTAATCCTAGCACTTTGGGAGGCCGAAGGGGGCAGATCACCTGAGGTCAGCAGTTCAAGATCAGCCTAGCCAACATGGTGAAACCCCATCTCTACAAAAATACAACAATTAGCCAGGCGTAGTGGTGCATGCCTGTAATCCCAGCTACCTGGGAGGTTGAGGCAGGAGAATCTCTGGAACCCGGGAGGCAGAGGCTGCAGTGAGCTGAGTTTGCACCACTGCACTCCATCCAGCCTGGGTGACAGAGCCAGACTCTGTCTCAAAAAAAAAAAAAAAAAAAAAGAAAGGTTAAGATGGTAAATTTTATGTATGTGTATTTTACCTCAATTTTAAATTTTTAAAGTTTTTGTGTAGCTGCTGAGGGTTTAAAAATTTTGTTAAAGAGTTTGGTGTCTACCTTAGGTCAGAAACAGCAATGAAGGAAGAAGGCCTGAAATAAGTGAAACATGAGGAGACAAGGCAATGAAACGGGCTGGTTATGGGGAGAAAAGTGAGCTTCCAATGGCCAAGACCTAACACACTACCTTTTATTTAAAGCTTGATTGCTGTCTTAAAGGAAACTGATTGGCTGGGCGCTGTGGCTCACGCCTGTAATCCCAGCACTTTGGGAGGCCAAAGCGGGTGGATCATTTGAGGTCAGAAGTTGGAGACCAGCCTAACCAACATGGTGAAACCCTGTCTCTACCAAAAATACAAAAAGTAGCTGGGTGTGATGGCACGCGCCTATAGTTCCAGCTACTCGGGAGGCTGAGGCAGGGGAATTGCTTGAACCCAGGAAGCGGATGTTGCAGTGAACTGAGATCATGCCACTGCACTCCAGCCTGGGCAACAGAGCAAGACTTGGTCTTAAAAAAAAAAAAAAAACGAAATTTGGCCTGGCGCAGTGGCTCACGCTTGTAATCCCAGCACTTTGGGAAGCCAAGGAAGGTGGATCATGAGGTAAGGAGTTCAAGACCAGCCTGGCCAAGATGGTGAAACCCCGTCTTTACTAAAAATACAAAAAATTAGCCGGGCGTGGTGGCACGTGCCTGTAATCTCAGCTACTTAGGAGGCTGAGGCAGAGAATTGCTTAAACCTGGGGAGTGGAGGTTGCAATGAGCCAAGATAGCGCCACTGCACTCCAGCCTGGGTGACAGAGGGAGACACCATCTCAAAAAAATAAATAAAATTTAAAAACTAAAAAAAAAAAAAAAAGAAAAGAAAAGAAACTGATTGTTATACATTTGCAGAACATCAGCTTGAGTGCAGCAGTATTCAGGATACAAAATCATAAAGATACTGCTGTTTTGTCCAAGAATCTTGGACACAAGGCAGAGATCTCCATGAAAAGGGTGTTGGTGAGAGAGGAGAAGTTAGGAATGGTTTCTTTTTTTCTGAGACGGAGTCTTGCTCTGTCGCCCAGGCTAGAGTGCAGTGGCGCAATCTCGGCTCACTACAACATCTGCTTCCCAGGTTCAAGCAATTCCCCTGCCTCAGCCCCCTGAGTAGCTGGGATTACAGGCGCACGCCACTGCGCCCGGCTAAGTTTGTATTTTTAGTAGAGAAAGGTTTCACTATCTTGGCCAGGCTGGTCTCAAACTCCTGACCTCGTGATCCACCCGCCTTGGCCTCCCAAAGTGCTGGGATTACAGGTGTGAGTCACCACGGCCAGTCAGGAATGGCTTCTATGCACACTTGATTTTCCATGGAAATTGGTGGAAAAAATAATTCTAGAAAGAGCAAATCTTATAGACTGAAATATTTTGGAGTATGAGGTATAGGCTAACAGAAGGTGAAGTAAATGCCCTGGTTTTTGAGATGTGCCAAGAATCATATCTAATATGAGAACTAATTTC